TGTGTGATTTAGTAGCAAATTGAAGAAAAGTTTGTTTTTCAAGGCACTTTGTGACTTTTCTTACTTCATACACAAAAAAAAGTGTAAAATAATTCTGACAAAATCTGATTTCTTGATGATTTGATATTTTATAATAGTGATTTTATAATTTCAAAATATAGAGAAAAAGTAGAAATGAATGACTAATAAGCCAATAAGTGCTCCTCTGCTGCTGTCTACTGGTTATAATTGTGATTTGATGTATTTTTTTAATTTTACATTTTGTTTACCTTGTTTACCACAAAGTATATTTTGGTCATCCCATTAAAAGTAACATTCAAACTGGATAATTTAAAGTGCTTAAAGTGCTGGAAATAGTGTGAAATGTTTCAAAGTAATTGAAAAGTGCTTGAATTTCTCTCTCAAAAGGTTGTACAAACCCTGAAATGAATAATGTAATGCATTCGACTATTTCTACCACAACACCATGGTTACATTGTGCGGCGAATTCAAACCCTTCTCACTGGATCTCGCAGCACTGTTGCATCTGTGCAGTAACAGTGTCGCGAAATCAACTTTGGCTCCCGAGTAAAGCTGTTCTGAGCTCGGACAAGTTTCTTTGCGTCGCAGTGCGAGCTGATAAACGGTCCGCGCTGCGCAGCTGAAATGTAGCGCGGTTTAGTTTCGCTTTCGTTTGCCGTTTAATGTTTCTCAAATGCAACAGAAATGGCAGCGCTTATGAGTTGGACAACGCGGTGGTCGCGCCAGTGCGACCGCTCACAAAAATTAGTTGCACAGGCAGAAAAAATGGTCACAGTCTGGAGCCCTTGGGAAGATCATTCCACCAGCCAGGAATGGTGAACGAGAATGTTCTGGAAAGTGATTTTGAGCCTCTCTGTGATGGTACCACGAGGCGTCGCTCACTAGCGGATCTCAGACTTCTGGAGGGGATGTAGATTCGTAAGAGTGAGTGGAAGTAGGCGGGTGCTGAGCCTGTGGCTGTTCTATATGCAAGCATCAATGTCTTGAACTTGATTCGAGCCGCAACCGGTAGTGGTCATCAAAGATTACACCAAGATTTCTGACCAAAGTTGATGGGATAGTTGTAGAAGAACCTAGCTGGATGGTGAACTCATGCTGTAGAGTTGGAGTGGCAGGGAAGACAAGAAGCTCAGTCTTTGCCAGGTTGAGCTGTAGGTGATGTTCTTTCATCCTTGCCGAGATGTCCGCCAGGCAGTCTGAGATCCGTGTAGTTACCGTTGGATCATCTGGTTGAAATGAGAGAGAGCTGTGTGTCATCAGCATAGCAATGGTAGGAGAAGCCATGTGCCTGTATGATGGGACCTAGTGATGTAGTGTATATGAAGAAGAGGAGGCAGTGACCAGTTGATGTGCTTTGGATACCTCCCCTCCCCAGGCCACCCTGAAAGACCTACCAGTGAGATAGGATTCAAACCAGCGAAGTGGAATCCCTGTGGTGCCCAGTGATGAGAGGGTGGGCAGGAGGATCTGATGATTGACTGTGTCAAAAGCAGCAGATAGATCAACCTGAATATGAATTGATGATTTGGAATCAGCTTTTGCCATCCGCAAGGCTTCCGTGACTGACAGTAGCGCAGTCTCGGTTGAATGGCCACTCCTGAAGCCTGATTGGTTAGCGTCCAGTTTGTTGTTCTGTGAAAGAAACAATGATACCTGGTTGAAAACAACTCGTTCAAGGGTTTTCGCTGTGAATGAAAGGAGAGAGACAGGTCTGTAACTATCTGTAAGTGAAGTGTTTAATGTAGGTTTTTTGAGCAGTGGGGTTATCCGAGCCTGCTTGAATGCAGTGGGGAAGCTGCCTGTGAGTAGAGATATGTTGATGATGTGTTTGAGTGCTGGTAAGAGTGTAGGAAGAATATGCATTTGTGGTAGGGATGGGAAGATTCCCCGATTCGCTCGGTGCATCGGCATAAAAAGTTAACGATGCGATGCATCGGTTTAAAAAGTGTGCATCGGCTACAAGTTGGCATTTATATCGCGATGCATTGTTTCTAACATATTTGCATCGCTAAAAAACTATTTATTGATATATAATTACTAGTGGATGCGCTATACTTTTATTCTTTAGAAAGTGACCAATAATCTGTGACCAATATTTTATATGTAGATTGATTTCTAGGAAAAGCGGGGATTAAAGTCCAAAACCTGACTTGAAATAACCTAACAGATCAATCGGGGCTAAAGCGGTTCCATAAATGACAAATTAAGTTCACACAATCTCACTAATTTGTGCAAAGTTATTCTTAAGCAGCCCTTAATGTCGATCATGGATCAAATTGAGAATTTTAAACCTACATATAAGTGTATTTTTATGATAGCAGTAACCGTAAAGGGACTATTGTAATAGGTAAATCAAGTGTAAGCTAGTACAGTACTAATTACTAAGCTCAAATGAGTTAAAGGTGGGGTAAGCGATTTCTTGTAGCCAATGTCAAATAGTACAGATCGCTTGACGGAGAGCGAAACTCTCAAGCGCTCAGTCAGCGTGTTTATCGAGTGAAAATCTGTGTTGAACGCCTCCAACTCACACACTGCAGAGTAAAATCTAAGAATTTATTAGCCAATGGCTAATGTTAGACGTTATTTAGTCGCCCAGAGTAAGATTTAGTCGCATATGCGAGTGATTTACTCGCAATGTAGAGGGTTGGAAAGGCTGCATGGCTAGAAAAATAAAAAAAAAAAAAAAAAAAAAAAAGTCATATAATAGTATGTGAGAGAGTAGTAATATCATTGGGTTCCTATTGGTCAGTGTTAGAGGAACTCAGCTTAGTCTGACAGTTAGCCTACTTTTGACCACGTCAGTTTCCTAGCATAATTTGCCACAGTGACTAGCTTGATCTAGGCCCATGTTAGTTTTGCTTTATGGAATTGACAATGAGTCGGACTGAAATAACTGAAATAAGCCTGGCTTATTTGGTAAACTTGTTTTATGAAACAGGCCTCGAGGCATTAAAAGTAATCATATTTTCTCCATTGCATCGAATCACAGGTGTGTGAGAGAAAGCAAAATTGTTAGCTAGAGCAGCTGGAGTTGCTGAGTTTTCTGGACGAATCCAGGTCTCAGTCAAGCCCAAGATGCTGAGTGTGGATTGTAAAGAAAAAGCAGAAATGAAGTCTAAATTGTCGGTCTAAATATTGCACATTACTAGAACATGCAGAACTAAGACTTTTTTTTTCTATTAAGATATTTATTTTAAGGAAAAATGACAAAAAAAAGTGTAAAGATTTCAAAAACGAAGTGTTTGTCATGTTCTGACCATAAAGAATAGATTAAAACCACAGTTAACTGTCTGGTTTTTACAACTTTCACATTGGAGCAAAAATCTGCCTTTAAACTTGAAAGAAATACAAATTTTACATTTATCGTGATAATTATCGATATCGACTGATATAAAAAAATATATATTGTGATAATTTTTTGGCCATATCGCCCAGCCCTAGTCTGAGCTAAACAGGCCACGAAGGCTTTTTAAAGAGTTTGAAACTTCCCCTTGCTTAAGTCTGTATGTGCTCGAGTATTGGTGAAACTGAAACCGTTTCTCTGTCTCTCCAGTCAAGGCGGGAAGTCTGGTGCAGTCCAGAAGTGCACAGCCTGCAGGGGGCGTGGTATGCGCATTATGATCAGACAGCTGGCTCCTGGCATGGTCCAACAGATGCAGTCAGTGTGCACTGATTGTAATGGCGAAGGTAAGGGGCTCCAGTCTGAATGTACTTTGACATTTACTGAGTTCATGTGGAGGAAAGGTTTGTTGATGGTTTGTTTATGATCCAGGTGAGGTGATCAGTGAGAAGGACCGCTGCAAAAAATGTGAGGGGAAGAAGGTGATTAAAGAGGTGAAGATTCTGGAAGTGCATGTGGATAAAGGTATGAAGCACGGACAGAAGATCACCTTCGGCGGGGAGGCAGACCAGGCACCTGGAGTAGAACCTGGAGACATTGTCCTGGTCCTGCAGGGAAAGGAGCATGAGGTATGTGAATATTCACTGTCAAGTTCAGAAATTATGATAGCGATGTTTTAGTTCGATCAGAAACTCCCAAGATTAAGTGAACAGGGTTTTTTTTTTTTTTTTTTCCCGTTT